TATAGGACCCACAATATACCTAATATTACATTCTTTGGGGATCATAACGTCATTAAATGTAGCCATAGATTGTAAGTCACATGTTAATTATTAGGATAATAAATGTAAAAAATTGAAGACCATAGATTCAAAGGAATATGTTTCTGAATGATTGCCCTTAGGGATTTCAGATGAGTAAACTATACTGAAAAGTTTAAGTTAAAAGCACTCAACCATTCTTAATTGATTGGCAGCAGTATTTTTTTTAAATTCATCTTATCTATTAGAACATTTTTTAGTCATTTTAACTGTAAAAATCCAAGTGGTTTATAAAGAAATGTGTAATAAAAACTGATCACCAGAGATGGTGTGGGGAGGATCTGGGGTGTGCTGATGTTAATATAGACATATTTTCTGCCTAGATTTACTGCCATGGTCTCCACAGCTGCGAACCGCAAGACTTTCATCTGCTCTGTCATTGACTTCCTTCGTCAACATGGATTTGATGGCCTTGATCTGGATATTGAGTATCCAGGCTCCCGGGGAAGCCCCCCTGAGGACAAGCAGCGATTTACCATCTTGATTAAGGTGGGACTGGAGCACCTGTTCTGTGCCTTTAGATAAGCTGGTTCTTCAGTAGATTGTCTACAGAGCTGCATTTCCTGGGTATTGTACTTCATGCTACCCTCAGCACACTGGTTAAGTGTTTGGGGGTGACAAGCAACAGAAACAGACTCAAGGAGAATTTTCTGAAGGATATAGGCATCTGAAGGAACCCAAGTAAGCAATTCTTGAATTGGAAAGAGCCATTCATTATGCCATTCATTCATTACTTATTGAGCCCTTACTGTGATCCACTGTGCTTCATACTAGAGTTAGAGCAGTGAATAAGACAAATAGTCCTGTTTTTGTTGGACTTACTGCTTAGTATGGGATACAGAGCAACAAAAAAGAATCAAGTATTTGCAAATGATGATAAAAACAATGATGGCTGTAACAGGATGGTCGAGTCTTTTCAGCAGGGTGACATTTAATCTGCAAAGTGAAAAAGGATTCAGAGTGGGAAGAAAAGTGTTCTAAGAACATGGAAACATTATTAGGAAAGGCCAGGAGATGGAAAATGCTTAAAACATCTACACACACACACACACACACACACACACACACACACACACCACGTGAGGCTTGAGCTTTAAGAGGGAGGTGAAGTCATGGTAGGCAGGACAGCTGCTAGACTCTCTGCTAGGAGTTCCTAAGCTATTCTAGAATTATCATTACATGTGACTTGGATTCAAGGACTCAGTGTCTGTATGTATTCCAAGTTAGACCTTATCAGAAATATCCTTGTATTTCGGGTTATCTATGAATTACAGACTAGCACAAGAAGTACTTGTTATAGAAAGTAGGTAATGAAGACAGCCACTAAGTTCCACTATCTCTTCTCCCTCAGGAAATGCTCCAGGCTTTTGAAGAAGAGGCTGAAGAAACAGGAAACCCAAGACTGCTCATTACAGCTGCAGTGTCTGCTGGCAAAGGCACCATTGATGCAGGCTATGAAATCGCGGAGATTGGGAAGTGTGTGGCCTGGGTTTCTTGGGGCCCCAGAATTCCAATGCAGAGATTCCTCCTCATGTTGAGAAAGTTGCCATATTTAATTGCCACTTGGGGACTTAGTGGCTTTGGGACTAAGGTAGTGGCCCCTTTAAACTGTCCTTATGGTAGACTTCAGGAAGAAAGGAAACACGATTTAAGACCATGTCAAATCCTTGTAATAGTAATTATTAGCTGTTTCTTTCGAAAAGAGCTATAAAATCAAGAAAGCTATTATCCATAGAGCAATAGGAGATCTACTCCCTTGTGACCCCTATGGCCTAGACACATGTTCTAATGACCCACATTTCTTAACCCTCCTCTGGGTATCCCCTGCTTTCCATAAGGAGGTAAAGGAGGCTTCTTACCTTAGTATGACGGAGGTTACAAAAAATAACTTGCTGCCTACAGTCCCCAGGAAGTCACAATGGTTGACCCATATGTACATCTACTTGACATTGTGGGTTTGCCAAAGCTACCATTTGTTGCTCTTAAATCATCTATGAGCACATGCACCCAGAATCCTGATGGCTCAAACTCTCTCGATTCAGGCTCCTTGATTTCATCAGCGTGATGACCTATGACTTCCATGGTGGCTGGGACACATGCACAGGACACAACAGTCCCTTGCATGCAGGATCCAAGGACCATGGTGATATGCGCTATTTCAACTGTGTAAGAAAGAAAAGCCTGCCCCTCACAGGCAGAGGAGATGGGGGAGAGTTTGGGGGAAGCCTTGACTTTGGGGAAAGGGGCATTTTCCTTGGGGATAATTAGATTGTGTCATCATGTGAGGTGAATGCTGGTGAGGAAATAACATCTCTGTTCAGGACTATGCCATGAAGTACTGGAGAGACAATGGAGTCCCTGCAGAGAAGCTCATCATGGGGTTCCCCACTTATGGGAGAACCTTCCGTCTCAGCACATCCGACACCTCAGTCTGTGCCCCAGTCTCTGGAGCAGGGTCATCTGGTCCTTACACACGTGAGGCTGGCTTCTGGGCTTACTATGAGGTAATTGGTGTGAGTCATTTAGGGGGCAGGGGACATTCTGGGGAAAATTCTTTCATTCTCCAGATCATCTTGCTACTCTTCTTCTCTAAGACTCTATACACTGACTTCTCATTGTTTTCAGAATAAACAGTCTGGAAAAAGCTAGGTTGGTACCTGTGGAACATTTTTTATTTAAAAAAAAA